GGAAAGAGAGAGAAAAGCACCCTTCAATAGGGTGTGGTCATGTCACAATCTCTTCTCCATTTCTCCCTCCTGTTGGGATTTTGGGCATGCATGTGCACCTGATGTGTTATTTAAGTCACCGGGGACGTGAGTTGTGTCAGTTACGTAGGATCCAGCTCCCTTAACCATTAGGGTAACGGGCTGGTCCCTGACCCATTTATCTTTTTTTTTTTTTGAAGAGATTTTTACCTGAAGGCACGTGTGCTGGCTGGAGAGAGAAACAGACACAGTGAGAGGGAAGTGAGCAATCATCCCCAGGGGGGATGGCCATGATGCAATCCCTCTGGGATCTTGTGCATGCATGCACACATGTTCGACATGATTTTCAAGCCACTGGGTCTGGGACTCAAACCGCACTCAGTCACATGGGAGGCCGGTGACATAACTGTTATGCCATCTATTGGCCCCTGAGCCATCCTTTTTTAGGTGAAGAAACTGAGGCCAAGCAGAGGAAGAGACTTTCCTGCTAGTAGTCACTGAGAGAGTTCAGAAGAGTCAACAGGCTCCTGTTTCCTGGATCTCTGGACCCATGGTTTTGTCCCCGTGCCACCCGGTCTCGGATCACACCCCCAGGCAGGGCTCTTTGGTGTTTCCTGCCTCATGTGTACAATTGTAAGGATTTATTGTAGCTGGGATTTTGTTTCAAGCCTTTAATATGATTAGCAAACATCCAATATCAGAAGCTTATCTAGTAAACACCTCCCATCCATGCCGTGCGTGTTATGGTCAGCTTCAGATTGAAGTCGAGTCACATTTCAAAACAGATGCAATTTCAAGAGGCTGGAGCGAGGCCGCCCACATCTGCTGCTGTGATCTGTCGTGTGCAGTAAACGGCATTGCTGAGAGCTCGGCTGTAAAACTCAGCCTGGTCAGCAGGACCTGCTCACAATGCAGGGAGCTTTCCGGGGGATTTTAAAAATGCAGTCGCGCACTCTGAGGCCGCTGGGCAGTCTGCCGGGGCGAGGACGAGCTGTCTGTTGAAGACTGAGATATTCAAATCCAATATTTATTATCTTTGACCCAAATTCAAGGAGCAGCAGGGTTTCCAGGAATGATTCTGACGGGAGAAATGGAGGAGATGGTGAGTGTTCATAAGAAGACCGGGGTCCCTCCCAACCTCCTGGGTAAGCTAAAGGAAGCACACGCTCATTATTGCCCTGGACACGCGATGACAAGAAAACAAGTCAGCCCAGCCAGGTGGCATCGTCAGTAGTGTATTGGACTGCAGTGCTGGAAACCACATGGCCTGCTGCTGGTTCACATCTCTGGGCAGCCCAAAAACTGGCCAGGAGCAAGGGTGGGTGCCCCAGATCCAGAGGTGCTGCAGGGCTGGGAGAGGGGATCACAGCACGAGGAGACCCTTTCAAGGGTGCTCTTTTTTGCATGCACACACTCTGTAGAACAAAAATAATAAAAATCCTCGGGCCAGCTCTGTGGCCTGGTGGTTAAAGCAGCCAGATCCCACGTGATTGATTGTATAGAGCTCTGGTCTCACTGACTTGAGAGACATGCCAGGTGTGTGTATATATGCTCCAAATCCCAAGGGAGAGATGGAAGCGCAGGGGTTGCAGTATGACCATGCCATTGCAGGAGGTGCTGGGTGACGTGGGGGGAGGTGTGCTTTCTCTTCTCTCTCTGGCTAGTGTGTGTGCCCTTTAGCGAAAAATAATAAAATAAAATAAAATAAAATAAAATAAAATAAAATAAAATAAAAAGTAAAAATTATCCTTTGTGAGGAAAAGTGAAGACTGACCCTAACCTGTGCTCAGGAGTGGGCCCTTAGGTCAGTGAACAGTGCGGCTAAATGCAGTGGACCTTCTTGGACAGATCCAGATGGAGGCCTGGCTTTGCTCTGGTGCCACTGAGCCCTCAGCTCATCTTCACGTGGCGTGTGTGTGCGTGAGAGCGGGCGCTGGTGAGAGCGTGAACTTCCGGGTGGTTCCAGCCACCTCCGCTCAGCACCCCAGGCTGCTTTGTTCTCCTGCTGTCCGCAGGGGAGGCGGGAGACACTCTATCTGGGGGACTAATGTTTCTCCGGGAGCCACAGCCCAGGGGTTTGAGTGACCCGTTCCAGCTGTTTCTGGAGGCAGCTCCAAAGCTGGCGGTCGCCTGGCGGGTGGCAGGGTGGGTTACACCGTGGAAAATTTGTTCCTAATGGGACAACAGCTGCCACCGGCAAGAGCTCCAGGAGTTGATGTAATGAGAGAAATTGTTCTCTGCTGCTGGGGCTGGCAGATTTCACCCATAAATGAAGATTTGCTGCTTCCAACAGGGGAGGCATTTGTTTGTTTAGATTCCTAGACGCTGGTGAGGAGGTGGGGCCCCCGGCGAGAAAGTCACAAAATACTCCTGCGACAACGCCACACTCTGCCTTGGTTCCAGCTGGGGCTGAACTGGCCCGATCCTCCTCCCCTCTGTAGTCTCCATTGTCGCTGAAGATCAGCCACCTGGGTTTCTCAGGGCGAATCTCATCCTAGGCGCGGAATCTTGGAAGATGTGCATGGAGAGCAGGAGGATGGGGTCTTCGGAGTCAGGCTGGAGGGGTGAGGTGGGAAGGTGTTTCCAAACCCGCAGCGTCATCAGATTTCTCCCTGGCCAGTGGTTCTGTTATTATCTCTACTCTGGCCATGGACCAGAGTCCACTGGGATTTGATTTTTCTACAATTTTGTTTATTTTTTTATTTTGTCAGGCTGCATGTGTGCTCTCAGGAGAGAGAGAGAGAGAGAGAGAGAGAGAGAGTAATAAAAGCACCCCACTCCCCCCTGGGGATAAGTTATTCTGTAATCCCTTCCTCCTCCATCTCACCCTCCTTTTGGGATTTTGAGCACATACACACACATGCCCAGCATGTTTTTCAAGCTGCTGGGTCTGGGACTCGAACCCTGCTTTTGTCCATATGAAATCCAACAGCCTTTACCACTATCACTGGCTGGCTCAGTAATTTAGTTTTTAACTTTTATCAAAGTTAGTCATGCATACCATCTGAGCAATTCTGCAAGACTTCTTAGGAAAAGTGACAATTTCCTCCAACCCCAGAGGCAATGACTTTTAATTCTTTCAGGTGTCTCTTGTCTCTTTCCTCCACCTCTTTCAGTAACTTATTTTTCTTTATGTGACAAGTTTTGGGGGTCATCTGCAACTTCCCACTACTTAAGATGAAAATGTAGCTTCTTTTATGACTGTGCCCCTTCCCATTCCCACACGTGGTCATGCACGTGTCTGATGCCAGGCTATTTTTGCTGCTTAGAGCTGCTTTGTACAGGTCAATGCGATGGCCCAGGCAGTCCCGTTCTGCTCAGATCTAAGTGGTGGCACCAATCACCTTCTGATCACGTAAGCGCTTCCTGATGACAAAATCCCAGACCCACCTACAACCAAGTGACTCCGAAAAGTATCCAGCCGCACATGGAGAAAGGAAGGTGCTGAGGTCTGAGGTGGGGTGCTCCGTATCTTCCCTAACTGTGCTCAGAGCACCTGCTTTAGCTTGATACTGCCTAAGCAAGGAAAAGCTTGCACTGTTTCAACTCTGGAGTTTGAGTTTGGGAGTATGATTTAAAAAACAAACAAACAAACAAACAAACAATGCCCTTGGCTCAGCCCTGTGGCCTTGTGGTTAAGGAAGCCATATCCCACATGGCCAAATGCACAGTTCAAATCCTGGCCCCAGAGATTTTAAAAACATGCCAGCCTCATACGCGTGCCCCAAATCCTGACAGGATGGAGAAACGGAAGAGAAAGGCTTTCAGTGTCACCCCTCCCTATGGGGGGAGGGCTGCTTTCTCTCTCGCTCGCTCTCTTCCTTTCTTTCCCTCTGGTCAGTGCATGCTCCCTCTGGTAAAACAATCCGTAAGTAAATGAATAAATAAAAGCAATGTACTCATTGTAATACATTTCTATTGGTGTAAACACTGCATTTCTCCTGAGAATGGCCACTTCGGAGAGGGAGGAGGAAGGGGTCTAAGAAACAGAATATGGAATCCAGACATTTGAAGCCAAGAGATGACACAGCTGTTTCTCGGGGCATTGTGGGAAAGACAGAGTTTGGGGCTAAAATCACCCACGTAAAGGATGCTCGGCGTATGCAAACTCCAATGCTGTACGATGCCTTCCGCAGGCAGGGAATCTTAGAAGAGCTGGTGCTGCTTCGGTGTGTCAGTCTCCACCTTTCTGTCCCTAGCAATACTGTGTGAAAGAGAAACTGGGTTGGGCTTAGAAATATCTGGGAACCAGCGGTTGGCGTAATGGCTATGTCGCTGGACTCCCATCTAGTCGACCGCGGTTTGAGTCCTGGACCTGGTGGCTTAAGATTCATGCCTGGCGCATGTGCGTGTGTGCCCAAGATCCCGAGAGGAGAATAGAGGAGAAGGGATTGCGGTGTGTCCATCACCCCTGGGGGGTGATTTCTCGCTTTCTGTCTCTGTCTCTGTCTGTTTGGCGAGTGCACGTGCCCTATAGCGAAAACCTCCCCTCCCCACCAAAAAAAAAAATAAAAATAAAAAGAAATACAGCTATTTTAGGGGCTGGCAGGTGGCATGGTGGTTAAGGGCGCTGGACTCCCACATGGCAGACCACAGTTCAAGTCCCGAACCTGGTGGCTTGCTCTCTCACTTTCCCTCTCTCTCTTTCTCTCTTGTTCTGTCCCTCTCTGATCAAATTAAAATGAAATAAATGAATAAATAAATAGAGTTAAATAAAATAATTTAAAAAAACCTCTAAATATCTCACTGCTTCTCTTAATTGATAAAATAAAATAATTAAAAAGAAAGAAATACAATTATCTTGGGATCAGCAGTTGGCGTAATGGCTATGTTGCTGAACTCCCACGTAGTCGATCGCGGTTCAAGTCTCAGACGCGGTGGCTTAAACTCACACTGGGCACTTGTGCATGAGTGCCCAACTACCCAAGAAGAGAATGGAGAAGGGATTGTGGAGTGGTCATCCACCCGGGTGTGGGGGAGAGATTTCTCGCTTTCTGTCTCTCTGTCTCTCTCTGGCTTTCTGGTGAGCGCACACGCCCTATAGCAAAAATCTCTCCAAAAAAGAGAAAAAGAAATACAGCTATCTTAGAGCTCAGGAGACCTGGGAGAGGCATACAGGGGCCACATAAATAATGGACGATCTATGGCAAAAGCGTGCCAGTTGAGCCATCTGTCCAAACGGAGCCATGAAAATACGATTCCGACCATAAGGACCTAGAACAGGGAAGAATCACTTTGCATCCATGACAGGCACTGTGAGGAGCCTTGTGACTATCGCAAAAATAGGTGCTCCGTACGTATCAGTCTTCAATAAAACAGCTCATTTTGCAGATGAGTAAACTGAAACTCGAAGAATTACAACGGCGTGTTCCGGGGCATAAAGCAGATTAATGGAGAGCTGACAGAAGAACCAGGTGCCCTGACTCCCTTCCGTTCTTCCCTCATACAGCATATTGGCTGTACTGATGCCAGTTACTGTGTCGGGCATTTAAGGACTGAAAAGATGGGAGACCAGACTCAGTGCCAGCAGAGTAAGAATCTTGTTAAGAAACAAGTAGGTAAACAATTACAGAAGAACATGGCTGTCCTTCTGATACGATAGGGTGAACTTGTGCAAAGTACTTTAAGAAGACAGAAGAGAGAACAAATTCAGATGAGGAATTAAAGAAGGCTTCCTAGAGAAAGTGAGAATTGCGCTTGATCAGGAAGGATGAGTCAATCACAGCTCCAAAGAATCTGGTCAAACTTGCATGACTGAAGTGTACAGGGAAAACTGGAAGGGAAGAGTCTGGAGGCACAGAAACAGGAAAGAGGCTCTTACACTTGTTCTGATAAGAGAAGACACAGGCTTGAACAAACAAGACAGAGGCAGGCGAATGAGAAGAGAGGAAAGATGTCTGAAATCCCTCAGTACAAGAACCGACAGAACCCAGTGGTTGGCTGCGGGGGAGTAGCGGAGGGAGGCTCTCGCTGACTCCCAGATTCAGACTTAGTGACCTGGCTGGAGAATAGTGCCAGTCACTGAAGGAGAGAACACAAGAGATGATGAAAGAATTTTCTGAGGGAAAAAGGTGAGTT